AAACATTTAGCATATCGTAAACATAATTAATAGTATAATGAAAAGTAATAATGAAAGTAATGAGCGTTCAAGTCAACGCATAAACACTTATATCGTTAGTGGCAAACACAAAACCATATGTATTTTATTATAACATTGTTCCAATAGTAAAAACTGTGTCAGACAACGCGTTAATATAAAATGGAAATTTTCTACAATCCATTGTATCTGTCCTCGAACAGACCCAAGCAACATTCAACGAAGTTGATAAATTTGTAGAAACTATAAGAATTCGATGGTTCGAAGTTTTAAACGGTGCTCGGAAAGATTCTCTCGTAGGAGGAATCACTTCGAGCATAGTAACCCAGGTCGTTGTTTCCTCGGCGTCGCCCTCATTATTGTTCGTCCTTCGAGGTTTACGATCACGGTGTTCGTCCCTGTCCCTCAGATTGGTCACGATGAGGCCCCCGTACGTTCGTTTCCACTCGTATATCCCTGAATATCGACTCGAAAGACCGCCCGTTGACTCTTTCAGTTGGTTCTTCGTCGTCGATCGAGTCGATTCACGCGGCCGGTCACTTTAAGGCGAGCCTGTACGCCAACGAGTCTCGCCGCCGGAGGTTGAGAACCGCCTTGATAGCGAGCAACACGGGTGGTCTCCGGAGGCCGCGCCGTGGCGGAACGAGCAAATACGCCGTCGGCATTTTTGACGGTGAAATCTGACTAGGTGGGATCCCGACGTACCTCGTGTCAGACGTCATTCTCGTGCCCTTCCTGCGTTACTTTCTGATGAATATACGTATCTTTCGTTTGCGATTTTGCCTCGATCCTAAAACACCCCTGGCTTTTCGGGTCACCATTTCGAGTGTACAACGATTCCTTTTTGGGATTCTTAGTACCCAGTGATTACAGGTTTTAATAAATGTATTTTACTTTGTCGTTTGAAGTATGTGTCAGTCATGTGGTTTTTTAATGTATTGCGTGTATTTGGTGGTTTTGTTGGGTGTCGTTCTTATTGTTATATTCAATAATGACAAGTATAGAGTAATTGGCAGTTTGATTAAAGGTATTTCTGGAAATACACGATTCTCAGGAGTTTGTTTTCCCCGTTAAGGGTTTTGTTAGATTAAAGGCAAAAGAAAGGATGTATCAAACTTTCTTTAATTGCGTTTAGCATTTAGCAAATCTACGTATAAAATTATTAGGAAATGTCAGAACAAGTGAAGAATGATCTTGTGCAATACTGTCTCGGGTACTCGATTGACCAATGTGTCTGTCTATTGCACCGCTAATTCTACTTACAATAAATATGTATAGTGATACAAGTCTTATCTGTTTTCCATCATGCATATTATCTTTTACCGTATCATTTTGTATCAAATTATTGTGGAAAATAAACAATACTACATCACTTGGTAATATTTATAAATATTAACTTAAGTACCAGTAATCCGCAACGTTGAGATACTTTATTACACTGTTACAAATGATATTGACGAAATTGAAACATGTACACTACGAGGCACCAGACACTACTGATTTTGAGTCAGGCAAGTACCAAAGCCGATAATTCAAGCGATGTTAAATTAAATTAATTTTCAATTCAAGTTTTTTAAACTTCAAATGAAACCTGTGTTTCTAACAAAGAACATTTTATTACAACATAACAATACGTTAAAACACACTTTCTTGAACCTTCGAAAAAGCTTGCAAACATTCTTTTGTACAGTAACAGTAAAAATGCACTGTCTTGCATTAACCCGAATATGCCTACCGTCCTGTTATATTCATGGCTACCCAACAGGTGCCTGTATTTTACTGTTTCTCAAGTTGTACATACAGTTGAATAATAGATGGCACCGTTTACTAAAAATTACTGAATTACATACTAAAAATTTAAACAATTCCTCAGAAAAGATTGGCTAAGAATATTAAATACAACAATGTTACAAATAAAAAGGTGCACTTTAACAAGAATATTTTGGCTATATCAGGATTAAATGCGAAATTGCATTAACCCTGTTTGAGTTTACTTTGCATTAATAATGCATAAAGTTTTCTCTAAGCACGAACTTTTGCAATCTAATATCCATGGCCGAGTCACGTTGCACACGGTCTTGCGCTTAAATAACTCCGAAGTCGATGCACGTCGCGGATGACTTATTTAGATAAGATCGCCGGGCTTTGTCGTTTCGTTAGGGGAAAGAACGTTTTGAACCATAACAGAGTTATTTCCACGTCTCCTTCTGGGAACGCTTTCGTTGGTATCCTGCCAGAAATTTTTCTGGGTATACCCGTAAAGCCATAGAAACGTGTGTTACGACACAGGGGGCTCGCGTCGATGTTTCTCTTCGGGGAATCGTCCCGAGCATAAACATCAGCAGCCCGCGCCGAAAGCTTAAAGTGGCACGAGTCGCGAATAAAGCGAGCAGCCAATCGGGTACCCCGGTGTTCGTGACTTTGCTCCGACCCGGGACGGTTCGCCGGAAGGCTCAGGTAGCCCACCGATCTGAAGGAAGACAACTGTATTCCGACTCGAGGGGGGATGGGCGGATTGTGTTTCAAAAAGTACTCGAACGATGAAGACCTAACCAATTTGTAATCTTATTTATAATTTGTTACGTATGAAGAATTTTCTATCATACCTCTCGCTCTAATAGTCTGAGCTCGCACCCGGCAAAGGAAAACGCCCTTACGGTTTCGTTATCTCTTGAGTAAGCGAGGGAGTAAAACCCGTTCCCACGGGTGGTAACCAAAAAACTAGGAAGCGTGACACAACTTCAACCGTCAAAAATTTCCTTACATGGAAATTTCATAGCATCCCCACCAATTTTTAGGCCTATATAAACCCGTTGATTTCAACCCTCGTGTACCGTCGCCTTTAGAGTCACGTCGCGTCACGTTCTTGTGAGTTGGTCATTACGTTAGTGAGATCGGGCAAAAGTTCCCTTTCGAATCCAGTTAACCTTGTAGTAAACCGTGAACACTTTATTTGTATTTCGGCTAGAATTATTACTTTGGCATTATTCCGTAAAATCCACTCGCAACCCCAGCATCGCCAGTGCGTTAACATCGAGCACCTATTTATTTCGGTAACAGTTATTATTTCATTATTACTTACTACTACGCGACAACACTACACAACACATTTGTAACCAAATACTGTATTATCGATATATTAGTTTCCTCTAGTTTAGAATAATATCAGGTCGACCGTTCCCACACTAATACAACTATACCGCTCGAGTTGTATTAGTTATAAATTCAAAGGTTACGAGGTACTAACTAACATTTCTTAACGGCTCCCTGATTTCGCATCATGTTCGTCCACTGGTGACTCCATTCCTAGAGGTTCCTTGATTTCGCATCAGGTTCCTCCTCGTTTTCAAACATCCTAGCGGCTCTTTGGCGTAGCGTCAGATTCGTCCGCGCACCTTACTAATAAACTGATACCATATTCCTTGAAAAACTTAAACTCGCCGGCCTCTCGCGTTGCTATGGCTCGGGCTCGTAACAAATTAAACGTTAAATTCTATCATATGAGCCGTTTTTTTTTCGATGTACTATAAGTTCACTTTTCTCTATTTTGAGTTAGTTAATGTTTTGTATTTTACCCTATCTGAAAATATTGTTAAACGTTAGTAAACTTAGTTTATGCTTTTAAGATTGCCGAGATATTTAAGTTTATTACGTGACCATTTACATAATTGTGTATTCTCTAAGTAGAACAGAGTTTTCGTTAATCTCAAATGGTCTTGTACCACTTTCAAAAATAATAAATTGTCAGAAACGCGACTAATACCAAATTTAAATTCATATTGCAGTTGAAGTAGACTTTTCTAACATATAAATAATAACAATTACAATGAAAACGATAAAGACGTTTATTTATTCAATGCAAAATTGTATTCATTTGATATACATTTTTGAGAATTTTCTATAATAAGTTTAATAAACGTACAGTCTGAAAAGAATGTAAGTACAATCGTAAAGATAGATAATATTCATATTTTATCAATTCTGCTTCGTAGGAAGTGTTAAATAAATTGAGTCACTGTTACAAATGGACTTATACCAGTTTCAAAAACTAAAACATTTATACAATTCCATTTAACAGCCAACCATTTTTTTCACTGATTTATGAAAAAAATGTAAAAGAAAAAGACATCCACCAGTAGCTTAAACTATGTAGCTTTAACTAATTTTTTTCATGATTGGAGTTCTCTATTGAATCTCTATAAAATCTCTATTTGAAATCTATTTAATGAAAATTCTAAAAATAAAATTTCTGAAATATACATAAATGCACTAGGATGAAACGAAGAAATCAGAATTCTGTGACTGTTTCCAAATCGTGAAAAAAAACTGCTCCTTGTGTTCCAGATTAAGCTCGCACAAAACTAATTCCTATAAAACAATGTTTTGAGGTACAAGTTTTAATTTTTTTTTTTAAACATGCTTTAAAATTGGTATATCTATTAATTTGTATATAGTTTTAAGGTTAAAAATTATCGTTACATAGTAGGAAAAATTATCTGGTGAAAACAGAAAGTAAATACCTAAAAAAATCACGAATATCTTATAAAATCAATAAGAATAATATTTATAGAGTGGCTTGCGAAAACTCAAACAATTTGTCGATCAAGTCTAGATTTTGGCAGCATGAATACCATTATAAAATGCAACTTTAGCTCACTACTAGATGTTATGAATACTAAATTCTATTCCTATATTTCATTCCACTCTATACACACGCAGGTGGATTCTAGTTAATTGGGATGTACAACGACCAATTAACCGGCTGCACCGAATTACACAGCGTTTATGGTCATTTTCACGGTCGGTGCATCTCGAGGAAACGGTTGTCCCGATTTAATCGATGGCCCAGTTAACCAAAATTCCCTCTGTCCGACCACGTTCCCAACGTGTGTTACCTACTGATTTTTAATAGTTGAGAGGTTTTATCGTTACTTACGAGTGTTCTGACGATGTTTCTTTTTCTTTTCTTTTCTGGGTCGTAGAAGGCGGAAGGTTACAAAAAGAGCTGTCCTACGCCTCGGAAGCACTGGGGGAAGCAGCCGCCTCGACGCATCAACTCGTCATCCAAACGCCAAGGCATTCCGGGACGAATATTTTGCACCCTGCCGCACTCAAAGAACATTTAGCGATCCTGAAGGCGGCGACGCAGGTCACCGTACACCTGTTCGAAATGTAAGCTTTTCTATTTTTCACTTTTTTTTCTCTCGACTTCCTTCTTGCTTGTTTTTTGCGCGAACCGATGCGTTCGCGATTCTGCAAGAAAGGGGATGACTGATGAGTCCGTGCAATGACGTTTTCCATGACTTTCAGTTCGACAGGTAGCAATCTAATCGACGTTAGCAAATTAATATCTCGTTGGTATCGTCCCCGTTAAATTTTTTACTATATGAACTATACTAATTGAAAAAATATTGGAGGACTTATATTCTTCGCGTCCAGTAGTTTAATACTTGCTACTAAGGTGTCTCGAGTAAGGTTTTCTTGCATATCAGATTTTCTATTAGATGTATGAAAAACGTTTGAATTTCAAAAACTCTTAAAGCGAAAGGAATTTGCAAAATATTTTTGTTGATAAGTGAACTTAAAAATATATACCCTGTTCAGTTTATTTATATTTTATAGTATAGTGTATAGTTTATATATATTTTTTTAAATAAACAATCTTTCGGGCTGGAAATATCAGGTTTTATAATCACACTTGTGTATATTTTTTTTAATAAACAATCTTTCGAGTTGGAAATATCAGTTTTTATAAACAAACAATCATGCATATACCTAAGCGATAACGAAAGAAAAGAGATACGTATGGGTCAATATCGACCCATATACGAGCCTTCATTGGTTCACGGAACCGTCAGCACTCCGAGGGCTAATGGTCTCTATAAAAATCGCTGGTGGAACCGCGTTTTATCGACTCGAAATTCCTATCCGGGTTGAAAAAATTGTATTCTTTGAACACTCGTATCCCGCAGCTCATCCCCTTTCTCGCGAACGTTGCGAACTCCCCGTAAATGCACGGGAGAGGGAAGGGAAGCGGCTCAGAGCAGGGACACAGACGATCGTTTCAAGTTCTTTTCTCGAGTGCCCTTCTCGAGCCGCTTATCGGCGGGGTGGGGGGTTAAAGGGATGCAAACTTGTATTCATGAATGCATGTGTTCCGTGTCGCTTGCAGCACGTGGAGGCTGAAAGACATATGTTACGCGCTGAACATACCCAACTTCGACATGCACTACATCGACCAGGTAATTTAAAACTACCACTACTTTATATGTAGGTGATACACGTAATGGTGTGTGTGTGTTTATGTGTGCGCGCACGGGTTGGTTACGCGGTTGCCGCCGCTATTCACGCATTCGTCGCGTGAAGTACGATACCGCGTTACTGCTCACGCACCACGACTTCCCGATTTCTATTAGGAAACCACGAACCTAGCGATGGCTACGATGACACTCTGATCGTTCTTTGATCCTTGGTCCTGATTGTGAGCCCTCGACTCTTCCTAGCGCAAACTTTGTCACGATTCTGTTGGAGACTGGAAGGCAATTTCGATTGTACACGTGTTTAATTTATACTTTTCTTATTCTTATAGAAGGTAGTAGGTATGATAAATGATTGTGAAATGATGTGATTGCTTAGAATAAGGTTTGATTTGAAGTCAAGCGACTACTTCTTGAATCTGTTAGTAATGTTTCGTATAAAATATTATTTACATTTTTCGGTTTGAAGCTGAACGTTTATATTTGCAGTGAAATCTTGAATGAATTTATATAAATGTTTCATAATAAATTTGAACAAGTCGTTGTGAAGTGACATTTTATTCTTTCTTTAAGTAATGCTGATGAATTTGCCGGGGTAAATTTATACGTACAATATTTCAATATAAATGTTAAAAAATGTCCGATGTGACGTATCATTTAGAACAGAAAAATAATATTAAAATAGAATAAAAGCGTTGGTGTCACATAAAATAAGGAAAGCTAGAGCTTAATCAGTAATGTTAAACAAGCGTATTGATTATTATAGAATTTGTTACTTATAAAAAAGGGAATACTATTAATAGTTCTGTACCTCAGAATCAGACTAATCCAAATCCCTTTTTATTCAAAATCGAGGTACATATACATATACATCATCATACTGTTCTGTCTTTATTGCAGTCATAGGGAAGTGTGTAAGTTACATAGTAAATAAAAAAAACTGGATTATTTTAACTACTTCAGGTACAATGTTAATATACCTAATAAATTTATTTAATAAATTATAATACACTACAACTTTGTATAGATATAGATATAGTCGATGTTTAGAGGAAAAAGGCGCGATCAGAGGTTTCTTTTGTTCTGCTGTCAAATTCAAATATTCACAGAATTCCGGTATACTATATTGACCTTTTATCATATTTGAAACAGTTCTATGGACTACACAATTGTTTTCATATTTTATAATAATGTTTTACATTTTGCTAAAAATTAAAATTACCTTCCCTATGTGAATTTCAAAATATAATTAACGGAAAACGCAGAATAAGTTCTATTCCAAACGTAATTTTTTTATAATATAAGTAATTTTCGGTCAGATCTTGGAACAATTGCAAAATTGCTTTCAAAACTTTTGAAAATTCACTAATTCTCGGTCAGATATTGAAACGATTACAAAATTGCTTTCGGAAGTTTCCGCACTACTCGAATAAAATGCTGTATAGGAAACGGTCAGACAAGATTCTCTCCATCGCTAGGCATTCTCGGTTTCTATTTCTCTGTGTTTCGATTTCCAGTCACCACGTCGTTCCCCGATGGCTCGCGCGTGGTCGTAAACGTCGAAAATTCAATACAATGCTTGAAAACCCGTAGCTTGGTACCACTATAGGGGATACGGTTATAAGTCGTGCGTGTCTACTCACGTATGCCGCGGCGTTTCTTGCTTTACTAACGAGCGAACACGTTATAACATCGCTAAGCATATACAGGGCGAGCCATTTATATCGACCCCCGTGGATATAATCGAAATCGTTGATGATACCGAAAAATGTTTCTGATAAATGTATAATGGTTTCGGGGAGAAAATAATTTGATGCGAGTAGTTTTTTTTATAGATGGACGTGCAAGGGACATATGAAGGTTAAATTTGTTTTTTTTTTTTTTTTTCAAAATACAGTCATGTTTTTTAATGTATTACTAGTCGATGCTGCTGGTCATTCCCCATAAAAAAGCATTAAGCTATTTATACCAAAACACCATTACTTTGGGAGATATTTCTCTTATACTTGTATGGATGGAATGTAGACAAATTTTAAAAGAAATGCTAGAAAACGTTGATGGGTTATTCAGAGACTGATTAATCTACATTTAGGCTAAAGGACGTAGCTCTGAACATCAACTTGAAGAAAGCAAACATCGTATTACTAGTACCACTTCCCACTTTTGAAATTAAAATACCTCCTAAACTAATGGTTTTTTGGCATAAATAGCTTAATACTTTTTTATAAAGAACGACGAGGTGCATAGACTAACACGTTAAAAGATGCATGATCCCATTTAAAAAAACAAACTTGACCTTCATATGTCCTATATACGTCCACCTACAAAAAGCTATTAGCATAAAAATCGTTTGTCTCCCGATACCACTTAACATTTATCGCAAACATTTTTCGGTATTATAAACGGTTTCGAAGATATTCATGGAGATCGATTTAAATGACTCACCCTCTATATCGGGGGAGGGTGAAAAAGTAAATGCGTGAGCCACATCAGAGGCACCGCGCGTCGAACACCACTTCCGCGACGTTACGAGCGACGTATCTCAAGAGCACTCGATTTTATGCTCCAATTTCTGTTTTTTGTTGTCCGCCTTCGGGGAACGACCCACTCCTTTAATTTTCCAGCGCTATCCCGTCGATTCAGCGAGTCGCGTATTCGAAGCTTACGACCCGCGTTTCCGGTATTCAATCATTCTAAACGGATCTGTCGAAAAGGAATGTGATGGTTTTTATTTCATTAGGTGTACCAATAAGTAATTGGTTGTACGTAGTTCCAATATGGTGAAATACAATTTGAGTTCAGAATATTTTTCAAATCTTCAGTTTAGCCAAAATGGTGAAGGATGATGGGAACAAATAACGAATATCGTTAAAATAGTTAATAGAATAGGTATTTAAATTATTTAGAAATTAATAGTGAGTTCCAAAAGAAATAGTAGACTACTTATTGGTATACCTAATACCATAAACTGCAAATTACGCTATTTATAATTACACTAGAAACTTTTACATTTCTATACGGGCAACTTACTGTAATACAATTACCTCCATTTTATCGACACTGACGATATATTTTCAAGTCGCTCACTCATATACGTGTGTTCTTTTAATATTGAACTAATTATACGTATGTAGTTTCAATAAGGAAAAATAAGAAAAATAAAAGATGAGAACATACGAAAAGAGATTGTATATTGAAAAGTGAATGATTAAGAATAAAGAGAAATATGCATTTGCTATACTATTTTTCTTATTATACAACAAAATTATTTATGTGCCGCTTTAACGATGACTTTCGATCCCATAAGTCAAAATGTTAAATTATTACTATGTAGATTGCAGATTTTATGTATTCTGGCGCACACGCAGATGTATAAAACACAAGAAAAGATAAAACTTTAACGTAGATCAATGTATATTTTGGATTTAACCGATGAAATACATTTTTCTTTGATTCTGCTTCCTACACAATAAATCGGGAAGATGGGAATTTGCATATTATGATAGACTGTACAATAGTGTCATAAATTAGGGAGAAAGAACATTCTAAAGTTCAATGAAATTACGAAATCAAGATCGATGCAATTTCAAAATTAATGTCAAATGATAGATGTGTCAGTATGCAGTGACCACTCTGAGCAATCTGCTAAATCACATGGCGGTGTCCTGCATCTCAGGCAAACAAGAATATTATTATCCTACAGCTGGCAACAGTCTGTTTCGCTTTTATGTAATTTTACATCTGTGATTTCTCGAGTCTCTCTCAGATTTAGTACTTACAAATCGATAAGAAAATTATTACCACAACTGGCAGGAGTATAGTAGATTCCTGTAAAATGTGTGAAGAATAATTTACAAAGCTGAAATTAAACAGAAATTGAATGAGAAGTAAACGACATTTGAAATACAGCGAGAGAGAAAAGTATGCGTGCATCGATGATTCTAACTATCAACTGACAATGTGTTTTTTAGTATACTACTATAAGTGAAAAATTATTTACCTCTCTGGTTATTCTATAATAATGTAGTTTTCTGTTAATGGTGTTGTCTGGTGGATATAATTATGATCTTAGTCTTACACTGAAAGTAGTATTACTAACTGGTAGTAAGTGTCATCGATATATGAATACTTTTTTTCTGCCACTGTATGTTTATAACTGTAACCTGTACCTCATTCGAGTTTTTAATATATATCAAGTTTTTACAAATGTAAGGAACCTTTTAATTATTCTATTTTTTATTAGGTTGTTGCGTATACACTGCCGGTTTCTTTAGCCTGGCACTTCATATTTGATTCAACTTAAATGAATTTTATTAGTTAAAATACGATTATTTATGTTCCCCAAATGAAATACAATTATTATTACAAAACCTCTAATATCTTAGAAGTAAACTTTTTAATTTGAAACAAAATGTTTGAGAACATTATTAATTATAAATCTATTAAATATAAATGTGTAGTTAGTTACATAAATTTGTGTAAAAAGATATATTAAAAAATGCAGTGTTTCAAGGGAAACTAAAATTGGTTAGAGTATCAATTAAAATTGAAGTAGCATCGTTTGAATGCATAAACTGCAGCCTGTATGCAACTACAGAAAAGCATTCACGCGTATGTGGTTGCGGTGTTGCAGGAACGCCTTTTCAACGAACCGATCTTGCCATGTCTTAAGCTTACACTCTTCGTATACGATTTTTTAAGCGCGTCCAAACTACGTGAAATTTAGTGTGTCATAAATTGCGAATGATTCATTACTCCATAAAAGCTCCGGGAGCTATTCTTGAGCTTCCTGTTTATTTCCAACAATCAGATTCCTGCTATAAATGTACAATGTATCACCAAATGATTTTCGAAAGCACTAAATGTTACAATACAGCGTATTGTACAATTAAACAGACGATAGCTATATATTATAAGTCGAGGAGACATAGTTTTTTGAACCGCCATGTGTCTCCACTGTAAATATCTGTTAAACATTTACTTACATTTTTATTGCGACAGACAAATGAAATACGATTGACAGAAAATAGCGTGATCCATAAATTTTATATGAAAAGTAATATTATGTAAACAGAGAAGTACATCTTCTTTTTATTAAGGGTTTTATTATAAAAGAAGCAATATGAATATTACAGATTTGCGTTTGTTGTAAGTTCATAAAATCTACATAGAACTTCTTGTACTTATCATATTATTTATTGTCTGTTTTAAAATATGGATATATCACATGCCAATGCTCGATTATCATATACATTAAAAGTTCTAAACTTTATATTATTACGCATACTAACGTAGTTACATCTTGTTGAATGATTATATCATTAATTTATCCTTAAAATTTAATTCATGACCATTGTAACTAAACTGCAAATATTTACTGAAATTCCCATTTTTAGACACTATGTTATAGAAATCAAAATCAAAGAACAATATCTTTCGGCTGTTTCATTGTATTAAAAAGTAAATGGAAATCATATTAATCTTCAATGAAATTGCTCTTTCATTACCGTGTTGCATATTTACATCTACCATAAATACATAAAATCCACGTTCTACTTGCAACTATTATCATTCTTCGCGTTTAGTAATGCCTCCATACTTGTCAATCACGTGACTACTGTGTAGATGGAAGTCGCTATTCCTACTCAACTTCTCCTCGGAACTAGTCAACCTTCCCATTCGTCCTTACTTTATCAGTTATGTTTTCTTTCTTTGACATCGTAGGCCGACAAAGGCAAGACATTTGAGTGTTTTCGCGATAAAGAAATCTCCTACCTACTCTACAATCGGCACACGGAGGTACCGAATTGCTACCATGTATGAAGACTTAAGAATTTGTTCATCAAGTATTCTTAACCCCTAACCATACGATTTTTGTTACGACTTCACTCTCAAGAATTACTTTATCGTTAATATTTTCCCATATACGAAAGGAATTCTATTCTTATAACAAGTGTTACATTTATTCTAAATTTTAAATGTTAATATCAACGAAATAGTATTTCACGTCGACTTAAAGAAAACGAATAATATACATACTTACTAAATCGTTATCACGTGTCTGACTCGATGTTGTAAGGCAAGGGGTTAACTCCTGGCTCTATAAATAAAATAAAATATATAAAAAATGAAAATCGATTCAACAAAGAAGAATATTATTCGGTTTTCTTTGAGTCGAAGTGAAGTATCACATTGTTGGTATTAATATTTAACTTTTACAGTAAAAGTATAGTTGCGATAAGTACAGAATTCCTTTCGTTTCTGGGAAACTATTTGATAAAAATGTAATCCAGGAACCTACAGACGTCAAGAAAATCATAAGGCAAGGGGTTAAACGAGTATTTATGTACGATATTTTCTTATTTTGTTATTCAGAGAACATACCGATACACTTAATCTCATTTCGTGGCCGCGAATCGAGGCGGAAATAGAGTCATTCCGTAAATGAATACAGAGTGAAGGTGGAATGACGACCGAGAAATAAGGCTAAATGGGCGGTGGTGCAATTAGCTGCGCATAATGACGGGGTATCGGAACACGGTGTCATGTGTGGTCCATGATCTTGCTCCTCCCTCGTCCTTATTATACGCAAATCCGAGTCGAAGGCAGTAAATATCCGTTTCTTCGCGGGTTGACTTCCGTTCTTTCATTGTTTCCTGTAACTTTCGATTCGTCAAAAAAAGGTGAAAATATTAACAGTCGGCTCGAGCACGGATACAGTAGTGCCTCAATTATCGGAACATTGTTTATCCAAACTTCGCTTGATCCAGTTTTCCATTATTCTCAGCAGAAACACGAGCCAAGTGGACTTTTGTTAACACTGCGTATATTATATAACACATGGTGATTTTGTGTTGTTACCAGTTTGCATAATCGAGGTCTTACTGTAATGGTTTTATTATGCATGTCCAGATAAAAGGCAGAAGAGTGAAAGGATCATCAGCTGGTCTTCTCTCTCTATTAGGTTTACCTATAAATAATTCCTCTATATTTTGTTCAATTCAGTATTTATTTTCTAACAAATTAGTACCCTTTTTACCGTTTCAATGATATTTTTCCCTGTTCTCCAACATTCGCCGTCATTTTTAGAAAAGAGAAGATGAACATATTCTGAATTTAGACTATTTTATTCGTTTATTAACATGAAATAGTGGAATATTGGTACACCTAATGTTTAGGAGCCCTTCTCTTTCGGTGTGGGAAATATTTGCCAAAAGTTTCTTTAAAAGCTATTTCATTCCTCCATCAGGTCTTACGAACTCCTTCTTGAATCAACGTCTACACTCGGTTCAATTATAGACAGCGGAAACGATATAATTAGTCCTTAACAAACAGCTCCTGTCGACGCAAACATTATTTCTTAAAATGATAATAATAACCAACGATGATTCTTTTAATGGCGGAACAATAACAAATTTTGAGTAGCAATTATAGTATTGAAGTTTAAACGAAAAACGAAAAAGTTGACTTCGACTCGGACAATAAAGGTACGTTTTCACGTGTCATTAAAAGTCACGGTTTTTCGTGTCATAACACCGTAATACTTTTTGCGGATGTTTTCACGCAATTTAATGTCATGAAATTTAGTGTATTCTGGTATCGAGTTCAAGTACAAAACTGGATTAAATGGCGGAGTAAATATTACTGTCTCCAATGTTTTTCTACCAATAAACACTACAAATAATACAACCACAGTCGACACAATATGACAATATAGTTTCCACCGTATACAGTGCGTGGCACTGTCTTACAAACGTCACTCAAAAGTGAAAATAATTTTATCTTGTGATATTGAAGTCGTGACATCAAAATCCAATGTCATGGCAACACGACTTTTAGTTTTCACGACGATAAAAGCCATGACATTTCCTATGAAGTCGTGATTTTCTGTCATCTGAAAACGTACCTTAAGTGCGATCATTTATTGTTCATTGTTTCGTAACAAACTTCTGACAGTGTGACATTAACGGCGGTGTAATTATTTCACATAAAAAAACGAGCGTGTCATCCTTTCATCGTCGAATAGAACTCAGTCCTCAATCCCTTGGACAAACGAATTAAACAGCCCACGGGGGTAGACGTTTCCGAAAGGATCGAACGGACAATTTGACAAATGTCCGCGGCGTTCCCCGAACGCCGACCGAAATTCGTATTATTCGTGAATCAAAATGGCCGAGAAAGAAAAAAAAAGAGAGAGAAAAAAAAATGAGCGGGAGAGGAGACTCGCTTGAGGTGGAGGACCGCCCTATTCGAGTTTCCAGGAACACACAGGTGGTCAGGGCCGTAATGTCCCGCTACCAAGAAAAACCTTATGGCGATCGTTAGTATCCACTATCGGAAGAAAAGAAGAAATAATCGTAAATCGGAGCCGAGAACGTACGGCCGCGCCATTAAGTAATCATGATGATTAAATGCCGGCCGAATCATAATAATTATCGTCGGAGCCGACATGGATGAAAATTGTATTATGTTCCTGGGCCGGCCGCGTGGTACGAATTTATCTCGCCCCGATCGATGGTTCATTAATCGAAAACTCGCTAAATCGATTATTCCACCGGGGCCCCCGCTCACCGCGTAATTTTTCAATTACACCCGAGAAAGCACATTCCTTCGGGCGTCCTGACCGGGCCACCGTTGTTTTTAGATCTTCGATAGTATCATGCCATGCGCCATCATTACGCCCCTCGACTGTTTCTGGGAAGGCAGCAAACTGTTGGGACCGGAGTATCCCGTTCACATACCGTAAGTACAAGAAAAACCATTCCTGTTCTCTCTCCGACTGCAAATAATTAAGCCCGGAATAATTTGTATCGCGTCCCGTATCCGGTAATCACCGATAGCCGCCAGTCGATTATATTTCAATTTGTAAATTGATTCACCGAAGTTGAATGGGAAAGTTGATCGTCCGAGTCGTTCGCGACGCGCGATTCTCGACGATGACCTCGAGCAACCTTGTTGGCGAGATGTTATAGAAAAATTATTGTAATTTAATTTAAAACGTAATTATGCATAGATACATGCTATTCTATCGAATTATTCTAAGTTGTTACCGATACGGTCAACGCCCTTTATACAGGTGTTTCACGACAAGCGCCAAGAAATAGTGCCTAAACTATTCATTTTATTACAAATATGCTATTTATAAATCGTTGAATTCGTATTCTTTTTTGTTTAACGGAATATCAACCCAGGAATATGGTTTCATTAACCTTGATCTAGGGCTTTAGAAACTTTACGCGCTATTCTAGCTAACAGAAACTAAGGTCAATGTCCCTATTTCTAATCATGTAAGAATTCTGCTATCGCAGAAATTAATTATTATTATTTATTTATCCAACGATCGACAAAAAAACTTAAACCTCCCTTTATAATTAAATTTAGATAAAAATATTTTTAAAAACATTTTAACTTAATAATAGGTAATTTAATATGAAGTATAAAACGCCCCTATTTCTGCTCAGCGAAAATGGAAGTGCCAAAACCAAAACTTTAGCGAACAGTATTAAAGAATCCGTAAGTTTTTTTTAGTAAAAATGAAGCGTCCACGTGTAACTCACGATTGCAACGGAACCGCTCAAATCGCGTTTCTTTACGACGGACACACTTATTAAATTTGTTTCTATTAAAATACTGCCATCTATTGAACAACGAGCTATAGCATTTTGTATGGAAATACTGAACTAATTGCAATCATTTTTTGTATAACTAATTTATTATTTAACTTTTTACATTAAATAAAAAATATATGTACTGAGCAAAAATCGGGATGTGATTAGAAATAGGGACATTGACCTTAAAGCGTGTAAGGTTGTTTGTTTATATTAGTATTTTACGAGAAGACCAGCAGATTTTGAAGAAATGCGTTTCAAAACACACTTATAGACGGATGAATAGGGGCCTGCCTGGACCCCAAATAGTCTTCTAGTCATCGTCATCGTCTTGTTAAGGGAAAATCAAGTTGTCTTGAAAATCAACTAATCTTTAGAATAGTTTAGGCGCTATTTCAATTGGTGCGTATTGTGGGATACCCAGTACTATTGCAATATATGAACAATATAATTTTTCTGTAAAACAACTGCATGTAGAATATTACCATATGCAAACAATTGAAAATACGGTAGAACTTCTCGTAACCGAACTTCCGTCATTCTTCACTATTCAGAAGAATCTGTTATACAAACATTCAATCGTCTGCACATATATGTATATTCATACACAGCTTGTAGTCAATATACAGCCGCCTCTGAAAGTAAGTTAACGCTCCCTCTAAACTGTTTCAATTTATAAACAATAATGAACGACATATTGCTATGAGACGAGACGTTTTGTGTTTCTTTTGTCATTTATTCGAGTATCACTGGCGTGTTCAGCATTTATTTTAGAAGCATTTTGCTGAAATGTTATATTAAATATGGCTGATCGTTAACTAACTTTCCGAGCCCAGTGCATGTCTAATAAACTCTCAAATTTCTAACCAACCGTGTATAACGGTATTAATTTTTCTTTCCATCATTGTACTATTTGTATTTCTTCTTCCAATATATTAAGTTGTTGCATAATAAATATCGTTATTGAACTGCAGAGTTTGACCTATTATAACTTATCTTGAAAAGAAGATTTTTAATCGAAATAAGAACCATTTGAATCGATACGCTTTTCCTAACGATTTTAAGATGACTGAAATGAAACACGATGATAAACAAATACCAATATCAAAAAAGCAAGTACAATAAATAGTGAAAACTAAATAAGAAAGATTTTCTAATATAACAGAAGGTAATATGCATTTTAATTCATTTTAGAACAATAAAAACGTAAATTTTGTTTCATTATATATACAGAATAACTTACAATTTTTAATCGCGTTATATGGGGACAGTAGCGCACTGCGTTAGAGAAATCCATCCTACTGTATTTTATTATCCAAAAATTTGCTCATCCGCATTGACCTATCTTCCACTTACTTCCGATACGAAAAGTTCTACTGTTTTCCAAAATCGCAAAAATTATTCGCAATGAAAAATAACCCGTTCATATACGAAAATGACCAACTCCACCCTTCGAATTTCTTCAACTTCTAACGCCAATGTGTTTCATGAGTGTTTAATCTTTTACATTTTTGTGGAGTTCCTCATTTTGGCGAATGAACGGCTGAAATGTCGCAGTCTCCACCAGCATGGTCGTAGTCAGGGGGGCAGAGGGTGCACCCTCCCCCCTGAACGGAAAAAAGTGGGTTCTGCACTACTTTAAAAGAAAAGAATTGGACCGTGCTCCTTCCTTTCGGAGGAAAAAAATTACATTGCCCCCCCCCCCTACTGATAACCTGGCTACGCCCATGTCCACCAGTGACCGAAACACCCTCGAAGAGGTCCGCCGTGTCCATAACCACTTTTCAGAACGAACACACTCCACTCCGAAAATTTTGTAACATATTCATCTTTTTTTTTTTTCTATATCCCGTGTCGTTTCCACGGCAGCTGGACGCAGACGAACAAGCCCGTACAGTGGACGAACCTGAATCCGTCCGGCATGCTGGACGAGATGAAGAAACTGCAGTTCGTGTTTCCGTTCAGAACGCTGGAGGATTACATGAAGCGAGCCGGGATAACGAATGGCTACCAGAGCAAACCGTGCCTCGACCCGACGGACCCGGAATGCCCGGAAACCGCGCCCAATAAAAAATCCCAGCAGGTAAGCAAGAGGCCCGTTGTTGTCCCCGAGATTTTTGTTCGCGGCAACCTCTCGACCGATTAAGGCGAGAAACTCACGGGGGCCCCGTGTGTAATTGTTGATTCACGGGTAGCCGCGTGTTTCGTGACGTTTCTCTCTCTCTCTTCCCCCTCTCTCTCTCTCTCTCTCTCTCTCTCTCCCTCTCTCTCTTTCTCCCTCTTTCTGTCTCTTTCTTTTTCTGTCTCTCTGCCTTTTAATAACGGCCACGTAGCACGCCCGACAAATTCGGATTACGTCTCACGTGCGTGCGAAAAAAAAAAACGGACGAGGCTAATTGCTTCCGGTAAAAGGGGCTTCGGACGGACGCGTTTTTTCCCTCGCAACTATTTACCCGTTTATCTCTGTATCTTCCTCTCCCTCTTTATGTGTGTGGGTATACAAGGTGTCCCGTAGTCCCGTGTCAGTACTGTACCAAGATGAATCGAATCCTTGTGTGGTCCAATGTCGCCAACCTGGAGGCTAGGTAGACTATTGCTGAGAACACGCGGACTGGTCAGAGGAGCACGTATGAGCATTCCACGAAGTCAGAGTTATTTCTTTAATACTAGCACTACCAGCGTTGTATGTACCCTAAATTACATTGTATGTTGTGTAGTAATATACAGGGTGTTCCAAAATAGCTTCGACTCTCGGAAATGAGGAATTCCTAGGATGATTTCAAATAACTTTTTCCTTAGCAAAAGTGTGATCCGAGGCTTTGTTAACGAGATATTAACGAAAAACCCCGACCAATCAGAGCGTCAGTCTGCCGGCCGATCTTCCGCGGTAACGTTGACTACCAATCGCAGCGCGTAGTCAACGCTGCCACGGAAGTACGGCCGGTAGTCTGGCGCTCTGATTGGTCGGGGTTTGTTTGTTAATATCTCGTTAACAAAGCCTCGGATCACACTTTTGCTAAGGAAAAAGTTATTTGAAATCATCCCAGAAATTCCTCATTTCCGGGGACGAAGCTATTTTGGGACACCTTGTATAGTGGGTGGTTTTATCTAAAGGTACCATTATGTCTTCTCGCCATTTTTCTCTGTAGCGGTTCTTGTCAGTTGAACATTGACTATGGCGCGTAGTTCGGATGCTGACAATTTATTAGGAAGAGTTTAACGCTTCAACAACGTGTTTTAGCGATTAAAACGTTTTATGAAAATGGATCATCAATGTTGAATACTCAAAGAATGTTACGTATTTATTTTGGTTTGCAACATGCGCGTTCAGCGAAGCAAATACGGCGTGTAATCGAAAATTACGAAACGCTGTAGACACTGCAAGATACGCGGAAGCCTGGCGAAGTTTGTACAACACGGACGCTATAAAACATTGATGCTGTGAGAGATAGTATTAGTGAAAAGACAGGGACCTCCGTTTGGACGTCGTGCACAAGAATTAGACGTTCCTCCGACCACAAGATGGAAAATTTTAGGGGAAGATTTGAATTTTCATCCTTACAGAATTAAATTAACACAACAGAACAAACAGAAACTAGGCGTTTCTCCGACCTCTAAATAGATAATTTAAAGAGAATATTGGAACTTTCATCTTTACAAAATTCAATTAACAAAACAGCTACAAGAAAATGACTCGCATAACAATGCGAAGTCTAAAGGTTTCCAGGCTGAATGATATAAAAATCAAGTGATGTCGATTAGCCACCTCGTTCACATGTTTTAACCACGCCAGATTTTTTTTCTGCGAGGCTATTTGGAGGAAAGAATCTACACTAACAAGCCGATATTCAACAAATCACCCCTGAAATGTGTACAATTGTAATGAAAATTGTGATCGAAAAAGCCCGTATTTGGAATGTAGCCAGAGACGGTCGTTTGGTCGATGTCATATTCCACAAATAATGCCATTAATTGAATAAACGATACGCAACAAAAAATTATAAATGTTTTATTTAAACATTATTTCAAAAGAAAATGATACCCTTAAATAAAAACCACCTCGTTCTGACATAATCTGACAAAAAATGTTTTAAACCAAAGTTAGTTAGTAATTAATAGACAAGAAATTGTAATATTAAAAAGTGCCAAAAAACTTTGTCTGCAATAAAAAATTAGGGTCACCTTCAAAATAAATTCGTAGGTCACTGTGAATGTGAATGTAGAAAAGGTTAGGAATGTCAAATGAAGAAAATGTTTTCTTTCTAGAAATTAATGATTTTATTTTTTCATAATGCGATTCTTATTAAATCATCGCAACATGATGACTACACTTACGGAATGCTCCGTCAAAACTGTTGTAATGAACTCATTGTAGAAACGGAATAACATCGTCTAAAAAGCAACCGATGAGTGACATTCAGTTGTAAACATTGAAAAACGGGAACGCGAGCGCGAGATATCTCGTTCAAAACAGCACGTGAAAGAGTTGCGTTGCAACATATCTCGTTCAAAGCACATCATGAACGAAATCACGTGGCGAGATATCTCGTCCTCCGATGCGAAGGGGTTAAGTTGACCCTAAAAAATAATAGAAATAAAACAAATCGAAAAAGTGGTAACCATTTTGTCCGCAAATTTCTATAATAAAAATATGTAACTAATAACATAAATTCCACTGCACTTATGGGGTCGTTTGTATATTTTCAAGGCCGAAATCCCTTAAAATCTGAGGGGGATCACGTGTATCACGAGACACCTATATAGTACACTCGCGTGTGGCGTCAAGAAGTTCTTCTCGTTATAAATTCACGATATCAGAAAACTTTCCAGAATGATGTAATTACACGGCATCGTGCACAGGAGGTTTCCTGCGTTTCTTGTTGCCCCGTTCCTCCCGATGGTGGCGGTGATGGTGTTATCCTCCCAAGTAGCAAGCTCGTGACACGTATTACGCCACCGTCGAGCATTCGTGGCCGTTGTAGACCGCAAGCGAAACAAAAAGCTCCGGCAACCACTTATTAGCACGCTTGTTCCTGCGTCAGAGGGATTGATGTTATAACTCATAGCCTACGTGCAATTATGCCGAGTCCGTTTATTAGCTTGAATTCTGTCTCGGGCTCATTTGCCGCTGGATTTATGCCCGTGATCGATCTAAGGGACACGGGGCCCGCAGATTGATGCACGGAAATAATTACACGCGCTATCAATATTTCGAAACGGTGGGGAATCGAGTAGCAGAAATCGATCGACGGATTTTCACAATGTAAATAAGGAATGTATTTCCTAGAAAAGATATTTTGAAGACATACTGGAAATATTTATTACATTGATTTTACATGAATAAGATGGAATGATTTGTATACGAGTTATTTTGGCCAAGGTAGCGAGCCACACATTTTTGCAATAAATATCTGGTTTAATCAATTCTTCTAGTACTAATAATATGGGAGGTATAAACGTGTTTAATATTCAAGTGATGCAATAAATATTTCGAAGAAAGAAAGTACATATTAGCACACGCGGATCTCTTATAAGGAATACATTAAATAGAATGAGAAATATAAAATAATTAAAGCCATAGAATAATGTAATGAATATTTTGATAATATAATGTACAAACTTATGGATATATTTTTAATATATGAGTGCGCGCAATTTTTTGTTTCTACTGTAATTGAGAGTTTCTTTTGAAGAATTGAAAATGTAATGTAGGAGGTCCATAGCTTCGAAATGTACGGTTCAATAGATAGATCATAAGAATTTCTTTTGAAGAATTGAAAATGTAATGTAGGAGGTCCATAGCTTCGAAATGTACGGTTCAATAGATAGATCATAAGATTTTCTTGTGAATTCATTTTCAATAATGGGCACAGAAGTTCGTTTTAATTGATTTGGGTTTTCTGTCATTCAAATTTAAGCTATGTATTATTCTTTGTTTTTAATTTTATTAATATATTACAACTCATTCTAGTTTTCATACATTTCTCAGGTACAATAATGAATTATCGTTAAATATTTAAAAAATATTGATCTCTAATCGGTTAAAAGCTGACATACAAAAGCAAACGATGTCTTTAATAACAAATTGCAATGAATCAGATGATAATCAGATGCTACTCCATTACGAATACTAAATCGAAAGATTATTATTATCCCTGTCTACAAGTTTTTCTATCAAATTTCGATCAATTTCTTAGCATTCGGAATTTCAGTTTTCCAATTCTTGAATTAAACTCCAAATATTTTAATTATTCCTAAATATTCGTCACATCTTCCCAACAAAATTTTCACAGTTTCCGCAAAACAGTGCAGAAAGAAAATTGCGTGCAGGAAGAATATGCAAGAAACCGGCAAAAAATTCCGTGCGTCGACAGGATTCTCTGTTCGGGGAACACGAGGGTTAGTTGAGGCACGTAGGCCAAAATCGCTATCGAAATACCGACTCGTAGCGCCGGAATCGCTTAGACCCCGCAATGACACAATGTAAAAGCGCGGCCGTACGCTAAGATTCGTTCATAAGATCAATGCCCAGAATAATAAGAGGCCACTTGGAATTCAGCGGGTCGATGACGACCGGTTGCGTGCACGCACCCGAGTCCGGTAGGTCCCGGACAGCCGACGTCCATTTCGCTTTGATGTCCGGGAGAGTATTCCGTGCCCGGAGCCGGCGACCACGGTAATGAATACTTAATTGAACGTACCTGGGGAGACCATGTGCGTATGTGTACGTGTGTGTGTGTGTGTGTGTGTGTGTGTGTGCGTACATAAAACACGACCGAAATCGAGGATTTCATCGTCGCGCGAAATCAAAAAGTGAATGCTAATGAAACGACTTTCGGAGAAGACGAAGGAAGCAAGCTGTACGCGGGAAAATCTATCGAACCGAACGCGCGGAAACCGGACGTTCACTATTTACTTGGCCTATAACAATGCTGTCCAGCTTGGCTCTCGGGAGGGGACCCTCACACGCCTGCTTCCCCTTCTTATCGTTCTGTCATGCCGTTTCTCCGAAGAAACAAAGAAGCTCACACTCTTGTCTCCGTTACTCCACGGTAACGGTGGTAGGGGATGGCTATTGGCTCT